CGCGCGTTTGCGTCACGAATGCGCGATCATCCCAATATTGCTTGCGTAAAAAAGTAAGTCACAAAATTGACAGAGATACATCAGACATTCATTCAGTCAAATTCAATATTTAATATTTTTAGTTGCTTTTAACATTCCGAAGAAAATATTGCCAGAAATACAAAATTCTTAAACTCGAAACGTTTCAAATTTGATTAATGCAAAACAAACTTTTTCCTTAATGATGTAAATAAAGAACGAGAATGACAGAAACAAATCTTAGCAAACGCACGCCATTTTATCTTTATTCGACCGGTCACAAGTGTGTGGATTAAATTTGGAAGATTTCGCGCATCTTCCAACCCGAAGAAACCAATTGATAAATCGAAGCGTCCCGAAAATAGAGCAATCTGCGGCGATGCCGGCGAAAGTTTGCCAGACGCGAGCACCATTTATATAACGTAAAGGATAGCGAAATAGAAAGGATTCGCGAAAGGTGGCGGCTAAAAGGGAAGACGGATCGACGACACCACCGTGCCAGCCCGCAACCGACATCTTCCATACGTCAAACGCCCGCCAACTCGTCTTTCAGAGCCTCCGAAAATGTTTCACCTTCGCATCCGGATTAAAGAGGGTGGTGAAAGATATTTTATCTTCCTCCTCCTCCTCATATACAGAACGACGGAAGAAGGTGCTCGAAACATTAAATAAGTAAATTAATAAAAAATATTTCTCCTATTTATCGCACTTTGTTACTTTCATTTAAGTAACTAAAATAAAGAAATATTGCCAGTCAAATTTTTATCCAAAGTGCGATTATCTTTTTTATATAATTATCATATTTTATTCGAGACAACTTAGTTCCGAAAATGAATCAATTCAATGTTCGCGCACACTGAAATGTTTTTGCTCCAACACTCCTATGTCAACTCTAACATCTTCTAGAAAGTGTGGCGCCGAAAATCATTTCAGTGAATCCCGATTGTTACCGCATGCGGGCGCGTTTAAAGTCGTACTAATTAACACGGCAGCGATTCAAGATGTCGGCCGTACACCGTAGGGTGGTTCGCCAAGGAGGAAGTCTTAAAGCAGCGTGTTCTCCCTGGGGAGCTAAGTGTTAGGAGAATTAACAGCAACCCCTGATCTTGGGCCTCTATGCTATCTCCCTAATAATAAACTGGTAATTCCCAATGCCCCTATAAGTTACTCCCTTTCAACGCCACAATGACCTACGAGTGCCAAGACGTATTGTCTACCGGGTGTTCGTGATCTGTTCTATCGCGTTCTCCATTCTGTAGACCATTAGTTGATTGAACAAGAAAAACGAGTCAAGAACAGCGCGGAGAAACGTCCGGAAGCTTATGACAGCGGAACGATAACCTTCGTTATATCGCGACATTGACTACAGACATTGACTTCCGACGATCTTCAGTCCCTACATATCAAACAACGCTTTTCAAGAATGCGAATTAATTATTCTTAATAAGAAAGTAACGACTTGTTTAAAATTCAGCAAAATTTACGAAGCAACTGCTTGTCTTGAACGAACAAAATTTGCTGAAGCTCGAGTTTGGTTTACCATGATGGAATATTGATGATCGCGCGCGTTCTCCCTTCCGGACATTTAGCAAAACTTACATCCGACCGGATGTTAATGCGTACTCTGAATGAATTCATCATGATTTCAGTGCAATGCTCACCCGTTACATCGTTACAAGCCCGCTGTATCCGAGAACGTGCACACCTTCATCATAGACACCCACCACGACCTGTAAAGTACCGTGCTTTCCGTCCCGGGGAGAGGTGGTGAGCGCAAACAAGAGAGAAAGAAAGAGAGCGAGAGAGAGAGAGAGAGAGAGAGAGAGCGGATGCTGGTTACAGGATAGAGAGAACGAGGGATTGTAAACTTCCACGAGGAAGCTCAACCTCTCGACGGGAACCGGTTAGATTTATGACCATAAATTCCTATCCAATAAGAAACAAGATCCGTGTATTCTCTAACCGTAACGATACACGCAAGTACTCAGACTTCGATAATTAAAACCGGTCGAAATCAAGCAATGATGATTGATCTCAGCTCATTTAGAGCAGCTTTATTTATCTTTTGTTTTTCTCAATATGTCAGTTACGTTAAACGTTACGTTTGTCCGTTTTCATTTCGTAACGCAAGAAATGCGCACATAGATTTTAAACCACGTAGTGTCACAAACTGTTCTCGTAGTTACAAGTAGTATATATATTTAGTGTTACATTGGCCGTAACTACTTGGCAGTAACTTCGGTAAATTATATGTATGCATGCTTGATAAATCTAATTGCTTCTCTCGAGAAGAGGCACTAAAAAGCAATGAGAAGCGTCTTACTGCAGACGAAGGATATGTGTTCTCCTCTGTTTAGTGTGGATATCTGCTCCGTAGATTAGGAACGAAGGGGACGGTAACAGTGACCGATAAATTTCGCGGCAACTGTCTCTTACTTGTAATTAAACGCACAATTTAAACAGACCGTTAGTGTCACCATAGTCGAACACCGGAAGGTCTCCTTCCAGCGAAAGCAAATTTCGCGATGACATTGTATACATGTACGTAGCACTTTGTGGCGTCAATTGAAACATTGATTATTTCACGAATAATAATCTCGTTAATATATTAAACAGACTAATAGATAAAATAGATTAACGGATGACAGATGGATAGACGAATGTGATGATAATACATATAAAAATGACGACAAAAAAATTCAAGACGGAACTCAGATTATTCATTAATGACTGATACTTCTTTTCAATGTGGTTTCTTATCACTTATCTCTTTGCACGTGATTAAACTATTCTTTTTTTAAAAACACTTAACTACACAAAGCGCGGTACAATTATTTTCTATACAATCCACATATATGTTATGCATCTGAACAAGACGTGCATTTTCATTGTGCATACATATAGACAAGCTATCATCCTAATTACGATATTGTGATGACCCGCGTCGCGTACCAGTCGAACATCTGCGATCCATCGTGACGGATAAATCACCTTGGGACCACCCTCCAATCGCGTCTCGCCCATCGCCTTGCATATAGACAGTTACTAATGAGCCGACCCCATTTAATTAACCGTATATGGTTTCGATGCAACTGCCTGACTATTTCCCCGTTATGTACACACACACATGCGGTATTATCGCCGCGACACGCACAACTTCAACTAACAAATTTATTCCAACGCGAAGCGATATTTCATCGTCGACCGTTTTCTTGCGTCGACACATCTGTTCGATTTGTATCGTACGGTTCACGCCACAAATAGATATGAAAATTCGCTAGTAGTGGTACTTCGCTAATGGTAGAAACAGTTCCAGTGAAACTTAGTGTAATTCATCGTCAGGCGTTATCGGAAAATGAATTGCAAATCACTTCGCATGCGCCAAGTAATTTGTAGGCCCCCGCCAACGCTTCTAATCACGATTTTTCCGCACACAAAGGAATCGGTCAATGCTAATCTTTTTTTCCTAATTAAGCATTTATTAAAATAATCTCTCTCTTACTTGTTCTTTTAGCGTAGATTTATCATTAAAAAATAATTTAGTACGTTAAGTTTATATCAGTGTTAATGTTGTTTTGATAAATTTCGATTTTTTACATATTTCTAGAAATTTGTATAATTTGTAAAATTTATATACGCGTATTTGTTTAAAAAGATATATAAAAGGTACGTAAACATGTAAGGTTCGGTAAACACAACAAAAAATCAACATTACATACATAGAAAAGAGTAAGGGAATGATTATGTTTTTTTAAATGCGAGGATCTCGAGAGCCTCCGTGGCGCAATCGGCTAGCGCGTTCGGCTGTTAACCGAAAGGTTGGTGGTTCGAGCCCACCCGGGGGCGTTATTTTTTTATATTTTTATAAGTTTGAAATTTTTACACCGAATTGTATATCATAATCATGGTTTATCGTATAAATTATTTAAAACTTCTATAAATTTTAGAATTTTTGTAAAAATAAATTGTAAATACTAATAAATTTATAAAATATAAAAAAGATTTCTAAAGAAATGTACAAAATGATAAAATTTAAGTATGTATTTACATGACCTTGTGATATTTATATTAGTATATTTTGAATAAGTTATGTATAACAAATATGTTTTCACAAATGTGTGTGATATTCTTTTCGCGAAGTTATAAAAAAATAGATTCCTAATACTTCAAGTAAACTGTAATAATAAATATATGATTCATTTACGCTAAAGAAATAGTACGTACAATTTATTTTTAAAATCAAAGTATGCGTAAATTTTTTGTAGCATTTCGTGTTCACGGATATACGATAAATACTCACCAGTCCTCAACGGCGCCGTGGCTTAGTTGGTTAAAGCGCCTGTCTAGTAAACAGGAGATCGAGGGTTCGAATCCCTCCGGGGCCTGGAAAAGGAAGTTGAATTTTTGCTTATTTTTTTTTTAACTTGCATGAAATATTTATTTTAAAATATATATATATCAGAAATAAAATATTTAAAATTAAGTTTTTTAACAATTTTATTTTACGTTATATACAAAAAAAAGTTGTATTTAAGAAGAGAGAAAAGAAACAGAGTAAGAAAGAGAGAAAGAAAATGAAGATTGCATGAGACAAAGAAAGAAAATAGAGAAAAACAGAAAAAAAAAAAGATTATTTGGAACGATCTGTCTCATCGATATAATATTTATAATAATCTCAAACATTTGCGTAAATAAGTGCATTTGCTTACTTGTAATATTCACAATCTCCAATAAAGAATATGTATGCGTCTTTAGTTCACTTCTATTCGCGCGAAAATACTTGCTCTTTATTTGTTACGATTTCGACGATAATTATAATATTACAACATTTGTGACTCGTTAATGCAAAGCAAACTATTCCCGTGAAATCACTTGTATCGTTTGTATCTCGTGGTAAATAAAGAAACCGAAATGTGCGCGCGCGAGACGATTGTTTTGCAAGGTCATTGCGGCGCGAAGTTTGTTGATACAGGGGTGGCAACTGTCGCGCGTGGCAGCAGCGCGTCTGGTGTCGTAACAGCTGCGTGCACACACATAACGTTCTAACCTCGTGTCGTCGTTCGCGCACGGCAGAATGATATCGTGTACTGACAAGTATAACTTGAACGAGAAACGGTTGTTTAAGGACATCAAAGCTAGTTTGGCATGCGGGGCTAAGGAGACGCGGAACGTTCTTGAAATTCGTGAAAATGTGCTGTACGTGTGCCATCAGAATGCCGACGAGTGCCGTGTGCTCACGTTCAACGTCGCAGCGGTTCGTGACAAGCTCGACGAAGACGTTCTATATCAGGTAATTACTTTTAACGATTATTTCGCATTACGTGCATGCTCGTGCTTTGCGAGATATAGTTTCGATCGAATGTGTGTGAGAGAAACGGCGCCGAGTTGCCACAAGCACATCGTGCAACCTAACCTAACTTTAACAATGCCCGCGCGTCAGCTGGTAACGCGTGCGCCGTTCTTCGCACGTTGCTCTTGCGGATGATAGATAACTTTGTCTCGTTCAATGTGTACATGCTTACAGTTTCTTTATACATTTTAACTTTTACAAAATAGAGGATATAAAAATAAGACAAATAGTTTTATTATATATTCACATAGAACATTTATTAAAATTTATTATTAATTTTAACATTGTTTACGTAAGGCATTATTGCACGCTTGTGCTACTTCTGTAGCGTCATATGTATATTATGTTTACACTTTTCTACATTTAATATACAAATATAGAAAACAGTATTAGTTATTTAGTTAAAATAATGACGTGTGTATGTGTAAAGCATATTTTTTTGTTATTCTTTATTTTAAACACACGAATGTTTTACGCCAAAATATTCAATTTAAATTGTATCAGAATGTTTTTTTTTAATTTAATTTCTTTCTTTTTTTTTTGAATTACATCTTATATTGTATATTATTATCGTAAATATTTTGAAGAGACTTATACGAATTTATTTAATTTTTATGTCATTAATTTTTTGTATATACGCAAAAGTATTTACGCAATGTTGTTGTTAGAGATCGATAAAAATTTAGAAAACAATTGAGAGGAAAGACAAGAAATTGTTTCCTTGAAGTTGGAAGCCGAAGGTTAGTCGCCCGCGCGTTTTAACGGCACACTTGCGGGAAATGATTGCGCGGTAAATGAAAGGGAAGCAGAATCGCGGCGAGAATGGTCAGGCGGCACGTTTCGTTCTCGCTGGTGCTTTTATTTCATTTCAATGGCACCGTGGGATCAGCGGGTACGTTAATGCCTCGGCGCGCGCGCGAGCGCAAAAGAGCGGCCAGGGGATAATTTATAGGAAATGGGTTGTTCGACGCTCCGGAGTAATTTAATTAAAATAAATGTTCGCGCCGCGGAGAAGCGTTTGCCCACACGGACGGACCCGCGGTTCCACGACTGCGAATAAAATGCAAATTCAGACCCTTCATCGGGGAAAGGGTCATGCGTACGCGCACACGTATATAGGTTGGATAGATAAAGGTACCCGCGAGAGCGGCGAGGAGGAGAAGAGAGGTAAGTGCGGTCTCGGAGGGTTCTGGCGGTCTCTCGGTACCGATCGTCGCTCGTTCATCCGTTGATTCGATAAGCCTTGTATTCGCTTAATTTCACTCAGCTGTCGTTTTAATATAACGCGTTGACACAATTTTTCATTCGCTTTGTCGATTCAAATCGTTATCAAGATCAGCAAGAGCGACTCATCACTGTTCGAAATTAGAAATCGATTAAAATATCGAACGTTCCTTGGGTGGTTACACATGAGGATAACAAAGTTGATACGCGATAGAGATGAGACAATTTTATCATTTTTTCCTCCCTCCGGCGGACTCCCTCGAGAGGCGTCTCGATTGCGTTAAACGACGTCGACGACACGGCGCGTCGCGTCGTGGAGACCACTTTGCGCTACCGGGCTGTATGCGCTCGGGCCTGGCTGAAATATCGGTCGTAAATAATAAAAGTTAGCGAGGTTCCTCTCTGGCGCGCACGCCGGGACTTTAAACCGGAAGATAGGTGTCGCAGGATACGGACGAGGGCGGCGGTGGGCAAAAGTGGCGGAGGGTCGGGGAACGGCGGTGTGGCGCGGGACGGAGACAAAGACGCGCCATTGTCAACCGCTCCGCCATCGGAACCGCCATCCGCCGCGGGAAACTTTGAATCATTTTTATTGCATAGAGTTATCTTTGTTACCAGCGGAACGAACGTCTAAACGCGCCCTCTCTTTCTCTCCCTCTCCCGCGGATGTATCACTCTCTCGGTCTTTCTCTCTTTCTCTTTCTCTCGCGCCTTTCGCCAGGTCATTCCCGGCCCTCGCGTCCTTCGCGTCCTCGCCTTCCTGCCGGTTACGCTCTCTTTCCCTTTTTGCCCCGTCTCCGACGACCGGGCCGAGAGATAATACGAACGCGAAAGCGTTCACACCCCTTTGGCTGCCCAAATGGAATAAGTTCTTTAATTCGCGAATTTACCGCCGGGCAAACGAATCGCCCGCGCCCGTCGCCGAGATAATATTTCGGCGGACGAAAGAGAGGGCCACTTCTTGGCCGAACTTTTCATTTGCGGCGTTGTCTTCTTCAAGGACCTCGGTACTTCACAGCTGGAAACAAACGAGGGTTTTTTGTGGGTCGTTGAGTTACCGAGAATTCACTCAAAAGATTAAAATGCGTTTAAGATACAGACGATGCGACAATTTATATGTTCTTTGGGATGTGATATTTTGTGAAATAATAAGCTTTTGTGATGACCCATTATTTTTCAATGTTTTTCTCTGTTTTATATAAAATAACTTTCTTAACTTTAGAGATTAAAAAATAATTATAAACGTTAAAAGACAAAATATAGAAATACATATGTGTGAACGAAGTGTTTAATTAAAATTAAAATTTTTAAGAGTTTTTCGCGAAATCTTCCGTAATGCAGTTTTGCTTATATTATATCGTGTGTGATTCTTTATATCACATTTTTTTCGTCGAGCTATTCGCCGCGATTAAAAACATGAAGCGCAGACGATCGCAATCGCGACCGAGGTAAGAATTACTTCGATTTCGGAGCACGATGCCAACGGGTCTCTACGTGAGGCTTTTTCTATATGCCTCGCGACGTATAAAAGGGACAATCTTATCTAAATTAAAAGCCGGACTCGCGCCGCGACGGTCGAGGGTCAGTGGCGCGAACAAAATAGAAAATTTCGGGCAAATTCCTACCGCCGCCGCCGCCACCGCCGTCGTCGTCGTCGTCGTCGTCCCCCTTCTCTTCCTCACTCCATCCGCCGCCTTCGTCTCAGGAACGGAGCGGAATATCGCGTAATAAGCGAAATCCTGTGGACGATAATTAAAAAGTAATTTTACGGTGACATTTGTAACTGCGGACCCGCCTACCCGCCGTCGGTGGTAAATACACGTGGAGCCACGCATTCTATGTGTACACAAGCAATAACTACAACGCACGCGTATACCTACACGTGTGCGTGCACGTACGTCTGAACGTTCCCGCGGTCAGATTCGCGCGTATAAGCAAACGCGGGGGTGGTTCCCGGCGGTTCCTGGCCGGGTTAGGCGCCGCGCAACGTGGAAGTATACGAGGAGGTACCTAGAGCAATAAAATTCACGGGAAGTGTTTTACATCGGGTGGCGCGCGTAGCTCTCTGTATACGCTGGATATGGCGGGAGGGAGGCGGGAGGGTGGAAAGAGAGAGAGAGAGAGAGAAACGAGGGAGGCTCGACGAATTCAGTAAGTGGCGGACAATGGCTTTTGTGGTAGACATCGGCCGTCCTACCTCCGCGCTCATCCCTCTTCCCAGCATTCGTATTTCGTACCGCCGCCTGCATGGATACATTTTCCCTCCCACGTACCCTTCCGTACTGTGTCTTTCTTTCTCTCCCTTTACCGCGTCTGTTCGAGCACTCGAAGCGTCACGCCGCCAGAGATGCGGAAAAAACGGTAACCCTATGTGAACTGGCAAAACTTTTCTCTTTCTCTCTCGACTCATTTATTAATAGATATATATGTATATATACGCACACCCTCGAGAGCTTCGGAGAGATAATCGCGCTGCATTACCAATGAAATGTGCGCTGCTAATGTCCCAATTGAGAATGTGTCGAGCAATAAATATATATATATATGTAAGCAATAATTAGACGATAAAAATGTTTTACTGTGGGAATTGTTGATGTTGTTTCTGTACTTTAATTACTTGTTATAAGCAAGATATACGTGGGAAGAAGAGGTCGTAAAAATTATTTGACATCAGAAATGGAATTTAATGAGTCGTCAAGAAGACGCTTAAACCAGAATTGCCGATGTTATTGGACGTCCAAGGCGGAAGCAAGGCCGCCGTGGTACATTCAATATACACAAAGATGTAAGAGTGCGAATGTGTGTCTCGTGTACTGGTGAAGTGGCACCTTTATCTCTCGCAGCCGCGAAGTCGTATACAAGAACGACGGTGGTCCATTGTCAAAGCCGCCCGTTAAAATACGGAATACGCCCTTAGTCTTGAAAGGAACCGGGCGTCCATTATCGCCACGTGTATAGCCTATGAGCTGTGAAAGGGCTGCGAGGTTCCCGCAATGACAATAATTCCGCGCTAATAACCCCTCGCAGAGACTTCTCCGAACAGCCCTTGTGATAACGCGGTAGCGTGTCTTTGTAACCCGACTGGCCGCGTCCAAGGACCGACATCAACAAAAGCCGAGCGATCATCGAGCCCTTGGAACCCATAATCTCTAAAGATATCTTCAGAATTTGGTTCTCCGTAACTTCCTTAGATCACTTGCGCGAACTAGAGCAAGCTTATATACACACACACAATCAGTTGTGGAACATTAAATATCTGAATTTTTTCAAAATCCAGTTTACAATGTGATTGAAAAATTTATATTGATTTTCTAATAGGCGACATAAGAAATAATCGACGGTATAGTAAAATATTTTATTTTTTTTTTTTAACGACGAGTTTTTTTTCTTGTCGCGCAAATGATCGTCTCGATCGCCAAGCGTATCGAATCGTGTGTTCTAACGGATGAGGGTTGGCGAAGTGGATGGCTCTCGTTCCGCGGGAGGTGGCTTTGTCATCCGTGGGACGCCTTGGCGGGCTAATGCATTTCCTTTACAGTTTTAATGGGCATTCATAACTAAGTTTAATAATGCCCGTAGGAGGCGAGCCGTCGCGGTTGCATATCTAATAATTCCACGGCTCGCGCAGGAAGTGGCGCGCGGCACGGATTTTAGTGGCGGCTGCTCGAGTTCTCGAGACTCTCCTCGCACCATCCTCGGCTCCAAAGATATCCGTC